ATTTTCTTCCAGTTTGTCCGATATAGTGTTTGGGCGGTCCTTACAGTGGATTACGTTGCCACTGTCTTTTTCTATTGTTCTCTTTTTTGGTTTTAAAAGACGGTTTGGGGGTGAATTGGATCCCCCATGATCTGAGCAATCTTGCTGTCATTTCAGAAACGTCCTCGGTGTACGGCATCGTCGTTCTTGTTCCTCATTCATAGCGTGTTGTTTGTTTCATTCTTTGATTCAGAGTTCTTTGGACGAAGTTTTGCGTGTAGCCACTGCGAGCAAATAATTTCATGAGATGTCCCTGATCTTTTTTGAGTGTGTCAGTGTCGCAATACTCTGGGTTCTTCCAAACAGGGTCCCAAGACATCGTCATTTTTGGCTGTGTGGATGATTACCTTTGAAGTTTAGGGTTTGATCCGTATGCGCCACTTTGCGATTGGCCGTTGTCTCCAAATTTTCTTATGGCGTTTTGGTGTTCAAGATATCCAAAAGGCAAGTTGGTTATCCTACTTCGTCCTCACTGTAAATCTAATGTCACTGAATGTGTCATTAATGATATTATGTTATTTCAAGCTCTAACTTCTTCAAGATGAGGAAAGTGTCATGGCATCGGAACCAAAGTTTGGGCCTCCTTTCTGGTAGTACTTCCCTGTCCAGCTTCAGCCTTCCGGCTTCGGTTGAGTTCAGGAATTGGTGATTTCTTTAATATCTGGTTCAGTTAATCGTAGAACGAGTACCAACAGAATACTTCTACTTCACAAGCAATAAAGATTTCACCTTGGGTGGAGGTGAAACGTTTGCAAACAAATTACTAAGTTCAGCGAACAGGCGAAAATGAATTAAGGTCACTCGAGCTGCGAGAACCAATTTTCAATGATTTGTCAATATCAGAACTGTCGGTTTGACCTATTAACTCCTCTAGAACAGAGTACAAATTCTAGAAAAATGAATACCCCAATGCGTTTGTTTGATCCACACAAATGCAACCGGCCTTTCCAAACACGGACACCAAAGAATCAGAGAGTGTTGCGCAATCCTAATCTCTCCTACAGTCACATCCTCATTTGGTGAGAAATGTCCAGTTAGATTGGATTATTTGTAGGGTAGTGTCAAACAAGTTGGTATATTGCTGTTGAAGGTTTCGTCAAATCTCCAAACCTTTTATTTAATTTTAATTTACTGGGCCTGTGTCCCCACCTACAGATAACACTTGGACATATAGTCCGATTATTGTTCAATTTTTTTCAGTCGACTGCTCTGCACGCCTCTACTAGTTCAACTTCCATCTGTACATTGTCGTGTGTGGCTGAAAACTAAACTCTATGGGGAACTATGGAGCTTACGTTAGTTTTACTGAAGCGAAACATCTTTTACACCAAAGGTCAATCCAATGTAATGACACCGTTTAAATTACAGGAAAGATAGAAACCACAAGAAACGGAAAATTTCGCAATGTAATGAACTTTTTGAAGTTACTGTGGTTCATCCCAACTGGGGATCCTACAGGATATCCTGTAATTCACTCGGTATTCTTTATTGCCTTCAAGCGCATAAATCTTCCCGCTTCGGATAAAGCAAAAGTTTACCTTATCATAAATTTGCCTGTTTCGTTTCTTTATTACACTGCGGTAAAACTCTGTGCGCAGCAAAAGAAATTGTTCGAGTTGGGCAAAAAGAACTTGATTGATGATAAATCAAAGAAGAATAATTCGTGGGTGCCCGAGTGCAACATTTTAAAACAGTCAAAGTACAGTAGCTAGATCGATATTTCGCATTAAATTTATGGCTCGATTTAGCATTTGAAATCATTTTCGTCCCCATTTCTCTCCTTACCCTTTCGTTTTATTTACTGAGGTTAATATACGCTTTTGAGTTTCAGTTCCCACAAAATTAAATGGCTTATCCACATTTCTTGTACAAATAACGATGTTCGTTTCTTAGTTGATATTTTTATTAGAAGTTAATAGTATTGCAATCTGCACTAGAGCCGTTAAACGGAACATTCACGTTTTTTGCTTTTGGATTCTGTTTTGATTCGAGCGTGGGTACAAAGAATGGCGAATTTCACGTATCTTTGATTCCTTCGGACTTCACCTTCACGCACAATCCTCAGTTTATCGATTCAACCATACACTCGGAAGCACTGGACTCGAGTTTTGCTCTTGTTAGAGCTCATCGGTATTGCTTATCTACCGTCCAAGGCAGTAATCATGCAAGTGGTTATGCTCGAGCTTACTGGAAGCGGTTTTTGTTTTTGAGCAGAGCACTGTCCATTAAAACTCCTAAAATTTAGAATTGTGATCTTTCAATCTGATCTGCGTAGACTGTTTCTGATCTCATATCCGGCTCCACTCCATTTCACTTGTTTCCCCGATCCATTTGCACGCCCGTCCCATTCGTGTTGTACCAGCCCATGCAGCCCTGCTGAGACCAATTCTCAGGACGAACGTAATCAGTGAGAAACGGAGGCAGGAAAAAAGCTCACAGTTCCTAAGACCTCAATCAAATGAGCGGCTAACGGAGCAACCGGGAAACGGAAGGCTAAAAGGTTCACAGATGGATACCATCGGGGCGGTTTTGCAGAATATAGGTTGGTCTAATTTATCTGTTCTATCGCGAATAAATTCCCGTTTTTTGATCCTATTCCGTGTAATCGATCGTTCGTATGATGAACCGCACATGGAGTTTTCAATGAGAAAAGCTCCTACTATCCGCACATTAGAACAGTAATTCTCGAAGAATCCAAAGTAGTTCAGATTTTTGGTCTCTACTACCGTAATTTTTCCCCGGTCGGAAAACGATCAGTTTTTCGTGATTACTTAAATGTTATTTCATTGACTGCAATGAAAGTATTCATATTATTTCATTGTCTTCTTCATTTTAAATTACTACCGGGTGACTGATGACATTTAATAGATAAACCTGTTTATTTAATGTTTAACACTCATTGGATCATAATTTCTGGTGGTAAATTCAAGTATTCAAGTATGAATTTAAATTCCATGAAATGTGATTTGAAGAACGGGAAAGCACACGTTATGACTGAAAATTATGTGGAACGATTGTAGTTCAGGATACAGATGTTGGTGTTGGTGGTTGAAAGTGGTGTTCGCAAACGCTTCCTAGTCAGGCTAGGCGACATTATCAGTGCCGTTTCGTGGAAATTGCACTACATGCCGAACACGATTTCATTGGGCCTCTGGGTAACTGACCAGAGTGTATAGTATCTTTCAAATAGCTTTGAAGGTGCGTTGGAAATAACAAATTTCGCTTATCCTAACCCTATTCTAGATAGGCTATCGTTTGGTCTAAAAATTCCAAACAAAGTTGTTGAAGGTAAAGCTGGGTAGTATATATTGCTTTTGAAATAGACTAGGTGAATCGCCAAAGTGAATTTGCCTATTCTGTCCCCCGTAAACCATAAAGAGATATGGAACTTCTTTTAGTAAAGCCACAAACGGTATTCTCTGGAAAAATCGGGAGTGCCAACAATTCACTGACTGCCTGATATTACAGACGTGAAATCTTGCGGTGACTTCAAGCTGTTTTTGATCAAGGAACTCTATTTGAATAGCATTTTCTCAGGAGTGAGATTCATTTAAGCTAACTAATGCATTCACAAAGACGTCATAGAGTTTAGACAACCCGAACTGATGTGACAACCGTCGAAGTGAAATTTATTGGTATATATTTGATCTCCTTTATATCTCATGACGCATTTAAGATTAATTGCATTTACACTTTATTATTATTTTACTCGTGAACACATTAAAACTGAACGAATTGAACACGAACGAGGCTAATTTCGTGATCAAACGAGGCTGTCTAAAGTTCCATATGTAGAACACCTCTATCTCAACAGCAGTTCACTGATCCATCAAGGCCAATCGAACGTGATTTCTTTTAGGTTTTGGTCTATAACCTGTAAATGAAAGAGGTCAATTACTTTTTCGTTCGTACTTCCAAAGTTTTCATCCGGTACCACCAGTTCAACAAAGTAAATTACAACGTATTGTGGATCGTTGATGCACCATCATTCAAAACGATATTTCAATAACCCTTCTGAGCAGACGAGTTGGTGAGTTATAAGCTAAACACACTAGCAGACTTGTGTGATTCTTCCCTGCGTCTATTCACACAGTCCGGTTGAGACAACGAATCGATATGCTCTCATCAAAGCAAGTGTGGTTTGGCACGACGTTCATAGTGTTGGGAATCGATATATATACGACTGAAGATGGTCACTTCCAAATTATCTTATAGAGAAAAAATGATTGTCTTTGTATTTCACTTTGCAGTTTGTCACACCGCAGTATGCATTTCAACGTGCAAAACATTTTCAAAAGCACATTATCAAAGATAGATAAAAATTCTTCTTTGGATTTTTTATTTTGATATTTATTCATGTAGATTTCCAAATGAATCGTAGAGAAATGCACTCGATTAAAGGATGGGTTTCTTTATGTTTGGAGCAGACGTAGAGTAAACTGAAAATCTAGGAAGCATTGAACACTTGTTTTCTAATTGCTCAGTCTCATCATCAGTGCGAACTCATTGACCCAACTTGGGATTGAGCCCGGGAACTCACAGTTAGAAGGCAACCATAATACCCAATTAATCACTAGGCAGTGGATCAGATTGTTTCACTTTGTGAATGCACGATAAAGGGTAGTTGATCTTTGCAAGCTTTTTGTGAGTATATCGACCTGTAAGCCTCCAAGTTATAACTTAGCAAGAAATTTCTAAATTTGATTACCTGTGAAAAGTAAATGACAGATAATGAAATATTATTTCATGATGTTTCCCTCGTTTTAGAGCCAAAATTTACCTTTAGTACATGCACAATGAAATTCGGCATGTCGTATATTTAACTTGTGAAGGATCCCACAATCCTAATATTTAATAAAACTAGCATTCCGTTTGCAGTTTCCTATTTCCGTTTCTTTTGTTCCGAATGCGAAATTCGGCCCATTTCAGACTTCGGAAGCACCCTGTCAAACCAAATATCAATGGCTGATCACGAGCTTATTCCTGATGGATCGAACGTCCTATTGATTTCATTGATCCCGTCCGTTATTTGTTTGCTTCTTGTTCTGGTTCTCGTCGCATATATTGTCTACACCCGACGCGTGACAAGTAGAAATCGATGGGTTCAAAAACCATTCAAGTCCGGTGCTCATTTACTCGTCCGAGAGATCAAAGCGTCTCCCGGCGATGGGAACACTAGTATCATACCACTTCCGTCTAGTGCAACACCGAATGTGATAACCGACAAGGGTAGATTTCTCGTCAACCTAAAAGATTATCACAGACCCTGGAATCCGGGGGATTCTAAGCGCGCATCTAATAGTCTCGTTGGTTCAGTTTGTTGCGAATGTTCCCAGACAGAATGTGAACAACCAACGACGGATGCAGCACATCTGGTGGGTGATGGAACGATGAACCGGTTGGTTACTGACAGCCAGTATCACAGTGCTACACAAGCATCTAATCCGTCAGCCACATCGCATACTTTATCCCATGCACCGTACGAAGGAGACTGGGCATCAAGTGAAATCCGTCAGTGTCATATCTGTTCCATGAAATCATCCACGATGGATGCGACGAGTAATGTGACTTCTAATCAGATCATTCCGATAGATATACTAAACGGTAAATCGTACGAATCACCTGCACAGTCCAGTTTTTATACCACATTCCCATCAAAATGTTTGACCGGGAAGGAACAGGATGGTGTATTTTCTGCATTGGATCCTGCCGGGAATTGGAATCGATACGGTTACACACAACCGATATCAGATCCGGAACAAGTACCCATACGTCAGAACGCATCACCGATTAGTCCGAGGGCCCATGCTAATCGTATTCTCAGCCCGGGAAAACACGATCTCTATCAGTCCATAATCCGTAGCAATTCACAATCGAGTACGCGTAACCCTACCAAGCCGAACGATCAGCAGCCTCGATCGAGGCTGGCACCACCTCTGTTCAATTCAACGGATAATTTTGTTCGAAGTGTGACCGAACCCTATCAACCTGCGCAATCCTTCAAACTGCGATTCAACAAAATCCCTGTTGTACGTTATCCTCACGAAGCGGATGAGGATTCGGAAGAGAACAGTCAATCGACCAATGAAAATCGTCCAGTTGATCCCGAACTTGATACAAACTCATTGCTTCGACAAAATCGCCCTGACCTGTGCCCACCAATCAAAATTGAAGACAAATTGCTGGCAAACAGTCCGTTGGTTGGCGATGACTCACAAAGAAATATTACTCATTCCCCAACAAATAAACAAACTCGTTACAACAGTCCTGGTAGTATTGGTATCGCCAATCAGACAAACAACATTTCCCCATCTGTAGTCGGCTCATCCGTTTCACCGGACTATACGATTGTTGAAGAATACAAACCTTCGTCCACAATAAGCATGTCCCCAAGACCCTATCCACGTCTATTTGCCAACGTGTCATCTCCCAGTAAGAATGGAGATAGTTGCCCTTCGCCAAAACTGACCAAACAGCTGCGTTTTCAAGCCCCAGTTTTGGAACTCCCAGTAACAATTTATGACTGTAAGAATGCCCCACCCAACTACGACATGTCCACTTCCATGTGCCGTTCAACAAGACAATCGTAAAACATTGAATGCTAAACAGACCAGCTTGTTGATCTGTTTGAGAGCAACAAAACAAGGCACGGTAATGATGAGTGTGTGATTGAATGACGGCGAAAAGAAAAAAACCAGTTTTGGCCTCCCTGGACCTAATAGTCAAACTGTGCGGTTATTCGCAACTCAGATGTACATACTTGTGGAACTATATCTCTTTCATATACAACTAATATGCATATATGCGTATGCATCTCGTGTGGTAGTGTTCATAGTTTGTTTCGGATGGTAGAGGCTGATGACCGTCTGCCTTTGGGACTCCATAGATGAGTCAGGTTCTGTCGGCCTAGGTTTAATAAAGAATGAACAAGAATTTACGAGTATTCATCAAGGTCGCTGTTGACGAGACAGTATACCGACACACACAAAATGGACGCATTAATTGCAACGCACGAGATAGGTTCCTTCTTCGTCCACCTTCTGACCGGATATTATCCAGTATCGTTTTGCTGTATTTACGGTTGTATGCACAGGTGAAGACAGGAAAAGAAAGTATCCAACTATTCGGCTTAGCTTTGACTGGGAGCGAACAAAATCCCGGACCCGCATCAAACATCACAGTTCGTAAATCCACCACTGATGTTCCATCACACCACATCCCTCTCGCACCCCGTTTTTTCTAACCTTACCCAACCCTCACCCGCGTTAAGGGCATTCTCACATGGAAGGAGTTTCCTGCATCTATGTAGTCTGGATGCATCATGCANCATCATGCATTGATAGTCGCTGAATGTCATCCAAACCGCACAGTTCAATTTAAGCAATCAGAAGTGACAAAAGAGTCATTCAACCCAAAGACTAGGATGAAGCTCTCCTTTTAAAGTCACGCATACACACGCGCACAAACACCGTCCATTGTGTATGACTTACCTGCTTGAGTGAATTATTTTCCCTTTCTCTTGTTTATGGACTGCCTCAGGACAACCGAGAATATAATGCTGTTCTTGCTTGTTTCTACTGCACTGCATCTGGGATCATAAATCGTCTTCCACTGTCTCCCACTCACCGTGGCAAACATGACGGAGGAGGAAGAAGGGATTGGTTGAAGGGGACATATATGTTGGGTTGGTTCTTCCGGAATGAAATTGTCACCCTGTAACACATCATATTTTCTATTCAACAAACTTCATCGTGACACACGCTGAACGGGTTGTCTTCGGCCTATTTCATGAGCACATGTTGTTGCAGCTCTCCCTTTCTGTAGATATATATATATATATGTGTATTTGTATGTGATTGTTTGTGCGGACGCACGTGCACCATCATCTATGTAGGTGTGCAAGGGCGCAGGATAGGAAAATAGTGCAGTCATTTGCACTGTGCGAATATTTATCCCGAGTCAGCAAACTTTAAAATATAATTTAGTAGTTACCGACTATTTTAATGACAGGTACAGTTCTACTTGGTTTCAGTTCACATACAGTGGGAATGGATGTCGTACAAAGCGTCTTCCCTCCCCCCCACCACCACACACAAACTTGCCCTGCCCCTGGATGTTCATTCTTCTACCGGCGAGGAAAATTTCCTGTAAACAGATCATCATTGACCAATACTTTATTGGTAGATTTAATTGCAACCATACAGCGTGGATTATCGACTCCTCACCCTCCTACGCAAGTGGCTATGGATGTCAAACGATGATAGGTAGAAACCAAAAGGAAGGTTAGTTGCGTTTCGGTCACAACCGTTGGTGGGCAAAATAACTGAGATAATTTTTATTTACTGAAAGAATGCTTCGTTCGATAATTTCAGAAATTGGTCGTTAATAATGTCATCATTATCATTTGTCAATATTTCACACACACCCCTCCCCCCCCCCAGAAAACCTTTTCCCTTTAGATATTGTATACAACACCCTTTAAACAGTAATTCGTAAAAATTTGTTTTTATTCTTCAGTTTTTTGTATATCTTGTTTGGAAATAAATATAGAGCATCCGAATGCTACTTTTTTCCTTTAAATGTATATATTGGTCACATTATTATTTGACCCTAGTGAAAGGCGACACAGAAAACAGGCGTAGGAAGATGAGGTGTCCTCTCGCACGGATTCCTTCTGGACTTTAGTACAAGCAATGTGCAGAAATTAACTGGAACATTCAAAAGCTTCTTAATTCGTCCTCTCAAAATACGCTATGACGGTAATCAGACTGCAATCGTTTACGCCATATCTAATCAGTTACACTATTGTTTGGAGATGTCATCCTTACTTTATCCACCAAGTGGGCGGTGATGAAATTACAAGGAAATTATTATTTTTCCCTTATGAACGAAATGTTGATGAAGATACAATGAATCCCCCAGATAGCATCTGCACCAGTTTTCCCACAAACTTCTCGCTTCTCACATGAATTTACGATGGCGATGATTATACAGAAATAAAGAGCAGCGCAAAAACTATATTTAATACAACTTCGAACAAGGGATGGCGTTAGAAAAATGTAAAAGCATTCAGTGCAGGAGGTTACAAGTGATTTGGGAGCATCTGCACGGAATGAAAAATGAACGCGATTGTAGCAAACACTGTCTTTACTTTACTGTGATATGTCTCACTTGTGTCTGTATTGGTGTTGGGTTGTTTCGATTTGAGTTTGTTTCGTTTGAAAGTCTTATCTTGTGCATGGTAATGACAGAATTTCATGGTCAACCTTTTGGACTTGTTCGGCAAGCATGCACTTAGCTTGCTGCTGATTTTCATAGAATGGTAATCTTCAAATCAATAATTAGAAATCACGTAATGTATAACATTTAGAATCTCTGAGTTTCTGCGCTGAACGACCAATAAGTGACCACTTCAAATAGCTGAATCGGGAAACCGCTGTTTAAATACGGAATATGTCAGTTTACGATATATATATATATATATGTATATATATATATATATATATATATATATATATATATAGTTTATTGAATGCAGTATGTATCGTACAAATCACGGTACTAGCCCCGGGTCTTGGTTTTTCATCATTTCACTTCGTTGGGAAGACAGTGAGTAAGACTTCCTCAGCAGATTCTGGTTGAGACGCATAACCTTATAGCAACATTTGAGATATGCGAAGGAAGGGTGACCAATCACAATCGAAGACACCCATTCCTGATCATATTGAGGCTTTCAGACTTGTTAATGAACAACAAAAACGCCACAATTCAATATTGAGCAAGACAATCACTGACACTGCATCTGTACACCTTTCTGCAGTTGTGATAAGCCTTATCTGATGGATTTTTTCTTCACGGACAACAATGTTTGTTTTGGGACATATGAATTTGCTTGTACCATGCATATTCAAAATGACAGATTATCAGTCCTCTTCCTATACCAATCAAGAGCTTCTAGTTGTATACCGGTGGCAAGTTGTCATTATCAAACACTTGATTCCGTTGCCATTTGAAGTTGTACAATAAAGTGACCTAAGAAGATGTGAGACTTGGTTGCTACCGTGCGTGTGGTGTTGGTGGTGGTTGCCTCATAGTATTGTCCTAGAATGTAAATAACTTGCTGGAGTTCAGCGGAACTGAGATGGAACAATTTGAACTGGTTGTCAGAAAGTTAAGTAATTTTGAATAGCACAACAAAATCCAAAAGAGGTATTCTGTTTTAGCATTTTCAGAGTTTTTACCTGAAGCCTTTTTTCTAATGGAACAATGAACGGTGTTTAGCCTAATGTAACACTCTTACCACAAGAAGAGCTGGGAAGTTTAACATCTTCCGACAGTCTTTAAGGTCAAATAAATGGTATCCAAAGGAAGCAGTGAACTTGTACGGGTGACGGATGATTGTTGGCTGTATTTTTTTATTTTACAAATTGTTCTGTTAAATCCCACGCCTTTTTTATAGACAGTTGATTTTGGGCTGGAACAGCAGGAATCTCCTTCGGGGGATTCACAGACCGGGGCTTTTTCAAGCATATTTGTGCACTCGACATCTATCATATTTTTCCATGCAAGGTTCGTTACCTCTTTGAAGTACACATAGTGCTCAAAATTGGCTGTTGTGTCACTAACCTTCTATAAATTGTTCTCCTCCCGGTGAAATCTGTTTGTCTACATTGAGGTTTATTTCATTGTTCGTACGATTCCATAAAAATTCATGAAATTCTATGCCATTAGAGATAATATTGACCAAGACAAATATTTATCTGAATAGCACTTGCCGTTCAAATTGATTAGCCGGTTATCTCGGTTTTATTTGAGAAGTTGGGTCCCCCATTGGACGCTCTCTTCAGTGCGATATACTTCAAAGAAAACTCATCTGTTCCCGTGACTATAACTGTCAAGCCATTGACGTGCATTCACCAACGTTATATTTCCAAAAGGTGGTTGAGTTTTTCCAACTGCCAAGCGCATAATAAGGAGTTTCCTACTGGATCGTCAGTAAACTATTAGTGGCCAAGCAATTCTCCACCGAGCCTGTTCAAAACAGCCCTTGTTTCCTTATCTTTAAGAGGGATCAAGCAATTTCTGGGTACCCACTTTGCGTGTCGCTCAACCGATCAAAACACAATATAGAGCAAATCACTTGCGTTGTGGATAGTTTGTTTCGAGGTAACTTGGGTAATAGGGAAGAATTCGCAAAGGGATATGGACCTCTCTTTGAGAAAATCTACTTAGCTGCTCACGTTTGATAGTCGAGCGCTTTGAGCCGAAAATATTAAACTGGTGTTCTCCTCTACATCCACGAAATGGTCTGCGGTTGTCTGCTCTCGACCATCTTGCTTGATAAAATGGCGAATCTTTCAAATGAGCTGTATACTAAAGATACTTAGTACAGATCACATTTTGTGCAAAATGAACGGACGTTATCCGTCATTCTACCGACCCGGTACCGCATCATTCCTATTACTCAAGCAACAAAAAGGTGTTGTTGTATTTAGTCACAATGAGACGTGATTTACAACATTATGGACAAATGGAACTGAAGGTTTTACATCGGATTCAGAACAAAGATAAAAATATTCAAAAAATGTCA